AAAGACGGAACTCTCCCCAAATCATTTTACAAAGCTAACATCACATTGATACCCAAGCCAGGTAAAGACCCAACAAAGAAAGAGAACTACAGGCCAATATCTTTGATGAACATAGATGCTAAAATTCTCAACAAGTTCCTAGTGAACCGGATTCAACAACACATGTCAAAAACTATCCATCATGACCAAGTAGGCTTCATCCCTGGGATGCAAGGCTGGTTCAACATTCATAAAACCATAAATGTAATTAAATACATCAACAGATGTCAAAACAAAACCACATGATTATATCATTAGATGCAGAAAAAGCTTTTGATAAAATCCAGCACCTCTTCTTGATAAAAACCTTTGAACATCTAGGCATATGGGGAACATACCTCAAAATAGTAAAAGCCATCTACGAGAAACCCACAGCCAGCATACTCCTAAACAGACAAAAATTGGAACCATTTCCCCTGAAAACTGGAACATGACCAGGATGCCCACTCACCCCTTCTGTTCAATATAGTATTGGAAGTCCTGGCTAGAGCAATCAGAGAAGAGAAGGCAATCAGGGGTATCCAAATAGGAAAAGAGGAAGTCAAGTTATCTCTCTTTGCAGATGACATGATTGTGTACTTTGAAAACTCAAGAGAATCTGTCAAAAACCTCTTTACACTGATAAAGGACTTTGGCAGTCTCAGGATATAAAATAAATGTGCAAAAGACAATCGCATTTCTTTATACCAATAATAAACAAACAGAAACCCAAATAAAAAGTACAATTCCATTCACAATAGCCACAAAAAAATGAAACACCTTGGCATCTTCCTAACCAGAAACGTGAAAGACCTTACAATGAAAACTACAAAACACTGCTCAAAGAAATCAAAGATGACACAAACAAGTGGAAAAATATCCCATGCTTATGGATTGGAAGAATCAACATTGTGAAGATGTCCATCCTACCTAAGGCAATCTACAGATTTAATGCAATACCCATCAAATTACCAGCAACATTCTCAGACCTAGAAAACACAACACAGGAATTCATACAGAAACACAAACGACCAAGAATAGCCAGAACAATCTTCAGCAAAAAAAACCAAAGCGGGTGGTATCACATTACCAGACTTCAAACTTTACTATAAAGCCACAATAATCAAAACAGCTTGGTATTGGTACAGGAACAGGC